ATTTTTGATTGGGAATTTTTCCCAAAATTGGCGGTGTGGCGCAGAAAGTTGTGGGACTAAGTGACTTGCACTATATATATAAGATAATTCTTGAAGTCTGAAACATTTGAACTCAAAATTTTAGCAATTTTACAAACGAGAGCAAAATTATATAGGAGACAAAAAGTGAGTATTCACTAAGTAGTTGGAGAGTTATTATATATCTGAAGTTACACTGCCACTAGGTGTAAATCGGAGTAAAAATAAACTCTTTCAAAATATGATGACGAGGTATCTAAGATTTTAATCTGGCCTTATCCTGTTTGAAATGAGTCAGGGAACTGGAAGCTCTTCGTGGCCACAGTTTACGAAAGTTACCAATCAAGTAACCAGACTTGATATACGGTGGACGGTCTACTGTGAACGTCCTTCCCCGTTACGTTACTGAAAAGTCGACCACATCTCAAGTAGGGGCCTGTGGTGAATAGGATATATGATAAAATATTTTGCCATGTTTTGCACTGGGATATTTATCTTGATAATGATGACATAATTACTTACATATTTTTTTTAAAAAAATATATAGGATAGAGGTTATACCTGGAGATGGAGGTATTGATATACGTGGATATTATAGAAACATGCCTGTTGAAGTGCAATGTAAAAATTATGAAAGTGTTGGTAATTATAATTTTAATTATTTTTAATTATTTATGTATATTTTAAAATAAATAATTAAATTATTTTCATATTAAGGTATTAATGCACTTCGTGTACTCGAAAATGTGCTAGGAAACTGTCATCCAGATTCTATTGACAATTTGGTAGCACCATTTAAATTAAATTATACTAGAGTTATATTAAGTGAAGTTAAAAAATCTAAATATAATGTTATCTTGACGGATAAACTAAGTATTTATTTAGATTAAAATTTTATTGGTAATAAACAAATCAAAAACAAATTGAAAGCTCCTACATTAACGTATATAAATTTAATATACAGTGAACCCTCCTCCATAAGTGCACCCCCCTTGGGAAAGCATAGATAAAAATCCTA